ATGTGCCCCGCAGAAGTGGAGAATTTCCGCGGCCATCAAGTAATAAACCGGATTTGCCCTCTGGCTTGAATAGGCTATTGTTGTCAAGGAAATCGTAGAAAAAACTTCTCAAAAGTAACGTTGTAAGAGTGTTGTAAAATTCGTCAGAGTGTTGTAGATAGTGTCACAGTTGTGGATAAAGTAGGAACGTTGTAGATAGAGTCGGAGTACTGTAAGAATTGTAAGATTGTCAGAGATAGAATCAATGTTGCGGATAGAGTCAGAACGTTATAGAGTTAGAGTGTTGCAGATAGAGGGGGAATGTTGTAAGACACGTGAGAGTGTTGCAGAGAGGGTACGAATGTTGTGAGAGTGTTGTACCTACAACTCTACCTAGAGTCAATGTTACAGATAGAGTAGGAGTGTTGTAAGAATCGTTTGAGTGTTGCAGATAGAGTCGAAGTATTCTAAGAGTCGTAATAGTGTTGCAAAGATTGTTGTATGAGCCGTCTAGGGGTGATCTATTTAACTAGTCTTAGAGTTGTAAGAGTCATATTATAGTTACTAGAGTCGCACAACAGTTGCCTTAGCATTGTGAATTGTCTCAAATTATTATTACATTCACTTATCATATTTCATCAATTATCATTGCCACCCAGCATCATTATAAACTATTACATAAAAAACACTCAACAATACAAATTCTACATAAGATTAATTTCACTGTCTGGAACTACATCAGCTATTGGAAAATCTCTAGAAAATCTAGCTATTACGGAGCTTACTTTGAATGAACAACCGGCATGAACACCAGAAAATCGGATTCCTCCAGCTCCATTTCATACTTTCCAGCGCACTGTGGGTGATGTATTGTGAGCACTCAAGCTGTTATAAAATGTCCCGGAATTACTCGTCCGTAAATCCGGCGGAGTAAATTAAAAATTTCCCACTCGAATCTGTCGATTGCGTCCACCTTCGAACAATACAGCTCTTCGTTTAATTCCGATCGAACAAAAACGGGATTAAATCGAACCCACCAATCTCCCATCCAACGTGGCCTTTTGTTTTGTCCACAGCCTTGCGCCTGTTTCCTCCCCCTCTGATCATATAAATTCATAGTCGAATTAATGTTACTCTAACGAATGCTTTCTTGTACTCAAATTTCCTCACATTGTGTTGTAACCCTTTGTCTTGTAACAACGAGTCAGACTCGTGACATAGATTTTGGTCAAGCTACGACAAAAGCAATTATATTAGGAATAAAAATTAATTAATAGGTATTGTTGGTAATATTTGCTGTTTTTAAATTCACATAGTTGAATTAGCACGAATTAACTTCACAGAAAGTAACATTTTTTGATGTTTTAGTGCTTCGATTGCCTTTGGCGAAGTCGACAATTTATGAAAGACAATAATTATTATAATTAACGATTTAATTTTTTCCAAGTATTTCTAACACTTTTCAAGATCACTAATACATGTTTTTCCTGCTTTTGTAGATATTAAAAAATGAACGTGTCATTAGGGCACTAATTATGTTCTTCGCCAAAACTAGTACCACACATCAGTAAAAATAAATACAATCGCTACACTACTAGATTCCAGACCCAGTAATTTTTCTATAATCCCAATAATTTTGCAATACCAGTTTACTTCACGTTCAACAAACGTCCCAACACTTATGACCAGCAGCATACGTCCCAAATTCCTCCGTTTATCTCATGTAACAACACGGTTACAAGATAATCCTTCCCGTAAAAGCCAACATCGTCTATCTCGAACGTTAAAAGAAAAGCAACTCAGAAGCAAAAAAAAAAACTTGCAAAAAGGGAGGAGAGAATTCTTGCCGGCGTTAACAGGATCAAGACAAACGAAACAACCCAGGCAACCGAATTGCTCGAAGCTCGGCACCGCGGCGTTCCCCTTTTTGCTCGTGTTAATATAATTCCATTGAAGATAATACGGTGGCCCGTATATTGTCCGCGGAGGTAATTAGTTCCACGCGCTCGCTTAACGAAGTATCGCGTTCCGTTTCAGCTGTAATTTTCCTGGATGGCGAGGAGGTGAGGCGAGAGTAGGGTCGATCTCAGTGGAGAGGCGCGAGAACGACCCCCGCGTTGGCTCGAACGGTTTCATAATTTATATGTTTACACGGAAGAAAGTGAGACGACGAGGTGCTGGTAGAAAGGACGGAGACTCAATTATGGAGATGGCCCGTGCTCTCTCCGCGGCTTCCTGACGGTTAATTATTCAGAAATTGGCCACGAGCCACGCGTCTCGCCTCGCTACATCGAACCTGGTCCTCCTTCTCCTCCACCCCGGACGCCTTTCGTCTCTGGCAGAAGTTGAAGGAATTCCCCGAAAAGGAATTCACGATGAAATCGAACGGCTCGCGGCGTCCAGACCTTCGCGAACTTTCTCTATTAATTACTTAACGCCACCGTTTACAGCGATTAATTAAAATTATGGGAAAAGTTCCGGAACACCTGTTACGTGTTTAGAATTATTTCTTCGCGTTCACCCTTACTCCTGGTAATGAAATTCTTCGCGGAACAACGACCGCTTTCTCTTGAGGAACTCGGGTTGATTGATTGTGCGAAGCGAAGAGGAGCGACGTTGTTTGTCTGTTAAATCACGTTGTTCGAATCGCATACGGGATTTGGGAACGTTATTCGGACAAATATTTGTGGAGAATTCTAACACACTGAGTGTCATATTATTTGAAAAAGTATTTGTGAATAATGTGACACTTAGTGCGTTAGGACGTGTACTCTTTGATATAGCAATTAGTTTTTACAAGTCTCCCACGCAAATTTAATATTGTTTGATGTAGTTTTAAGTATTAGGTCATCTCATAGGTTCGTGTCCCACAAACCAAATAAAATTTGATTAAAAGGAAACGTAAACACTTATAAACGTAAGCTTCTCATTCCACAATATTTTTGTTGGTAAGATCATTATGTCGTCACTACAGTATTTCCTTGGATTTTCACTGAAATATTTTCCGCTTTTAGCACGAACTTATGGGATGACCTAACGCATACTTGTTTCGAAGAATGGTTAATCATTGATCACCGCGACCGCCATTGTTTCAAGCGTATAGCACGAGTCTGTCTAGAGTTAGTCGATTTATAGTCAAATTTTTAAAACAAGCCGTCACACTGGAATTCTCAGACTCTGAGTATTCTTTCTAAGACCTCGAGGAACCCACCCACTCACCTTGACACCTATCAACGTAGTGCACCAGTGAACTGAAGGACCAGGCCCAAAAGTGAACAAACTTCCTCTTTTTTTTTGTATTTTGTGTGAAATCTTGTAAAATACACCCTGTTCTCTTTGGAGAAGGTAGTACAATGTGGAATTTCCACCCACTGAAACCCTCACGACGATCCTCGTTGGCGCGCTGAGGAGGTCCTGGGAATTCTTGAGAACACCTCCAAAATCTTCCCTCACCTGATCTCGCCACCCAACCCATCTTCAACCTAGCGAAACAAGGAATTCGCACCCCGTTTCACTCCTTCCGCGGGATCACGAGCAATTCTTGAACGCAGGTCTGTTCACTCTTGCGGCCGAGGTATGGTGGCCGCCAAAGGCTAGGGGACCGCAGGTGATTGAAGTGCTGCATCCTTTGAGGACCACCATACCTCGGTCGCAAGAGTCCACGAATGCTCGTGCGCCCTATAATGGGTTTATGACACGTCTAATGAGATTGAGGCGAGGAAACAGGAACGCCAGATGCATCGTGGCCACTTTGTCGAGTCAGAAGGAGTACTATGCGGAGATGAGATGTTGGCACACTAGCTACAAGCTAGAACAGCACAGAAGAAAGGTGAATCGTCGACTCGCTCCACCCAATCCCCTCTAAGAAATCTTACTGTGACATAAAGTTTGCAGATCTTCCATTGGCGACCGGTTATTTTCGCCTTCATCGATCGCTCGCTCGAAACTAAAGTCTGTGAGTCCGTCGATCAAAGGCAGGCCACGCTTTCCGCGAATCTTCTCGCGGTCCTTACGGTCTAATGACATTACATTACTTTTAGGGTCCTCACTCAAGGTATCTCACTTCTTCGTCACGCGACGAACTTCTGGATACGATCGACTCAGCCGATAATGACAATGTGTGCGAGTAGAGGTGTCGCTTTTACACTGCAGCCTCTTAGATTACTAATTCTTGAGTTAGTGATCTTCCTTTCTTTATTACTGATTACTAAACTCCCAAATAATTAAGCTTGTAAGTAGTGTGCCAACATCTCGACTCTTTTGTAAGGGTTATCTGGTCTAAATAATACTTGTCGGGATTTATTTAAACAGATGTTGAAACTATATTTATTTATCCGTCCGCCGTTGACGCCTCGTTCCTTTCTGGTCCGTCTTTACCAACTACACTAATATATTCTGCCTAGTCTTATAGACGCCCCTCTCTTGCCTCCGGGAAACCCTGGCACAGGTTGGGGGTTTCCTCGGAGCAAGGTCCGTGTCACGAGAGCACGTGGCTGGGTCCTTACCTGACCCAGCCCTTAGCGCGTGGGGGTGTCAAGTCGTTGGGACCTCTCGGTCTGCGGGTCATAAACCAACGCGAGTCCCAACACTCGCTCGACCATACTCTTACACTTTGTCCACAAAGAAATTTTAGGATCCCGAGCCACTTAGATTGCTGATTGAGCGGATGATTCTCCTGTTCCCTGTGCTGTTTTAGCTTGTAGGTAGAGTGTTAAAACCTCATCTCCGCATAGTAGACACCTCTTTGTCCACAAAAAAATTTTAGGATCCCTATTCTCTATTCAGACATTTAACTATAATACTTAGAAAGCCCTTAAAATGATGAAAGAAATTTTGGGATCCCGATTCCCTGGTGAGACATTTAACTATAATTCGGGGCCTCCATACCCAAATAGGAAACCTCGAAGGGAGAATAGAGAGGGAGTGGTTGGCGCAGCGCGCAAAGCCTCAGCCTGCTAAGCCGAAGGTCCCGGGTTCGATTCCCGTTGGGTCCCTCAATATTTGTCCGTCGATTCCTACATATGGAGGCTGTCCGGGATGGAGGCATCTACGGCTACACGAAGCCAGGAGGTGTGAGGTGAAAACATGTTGAGGGTTGCACGTCTCCCAAAAATGCGTTGTTTCGGCTGTGTGCCACTGTGTAGGGGAGTGTGCCCGAAAGTGTTGAGTTGTGTTGCACTGACGAGGACACTCGAGGGCGAATGTCAGTTCAGGATGGCCGAGTGCAGTATATCGGTGCCTCCATACCCAAAAATAGGAAACCGGCACGGAAGAATAGAGAGGGGGAGTGGTTGGCGTAGCGCGCAAAGCCGAAGGTCCCGTTGGGTCCCTCAATATTTTTCCCTAGGTTCCTACAATAACAAAAGAAATTTTAGGATCCAAATTCCCTAGTGGGACATTTAACTATAGTGCTGAGTAAACCCATGAAATTAAAGAAATTTTAGGATCCCGATTCCCTGCTGAGACATTTAACTACAATGCTTCTCAAAAATACCTACATTTCGTCGCCCATGAAATAAATTTGCGCCGTGAACGTTCCTCGCATACGTATTGAAATTAGTTTAATCGAAGTTCCGCGATAACTGTTTCCCGTATACGACTTCGGTTATTGAGATTCGTATAACGTTGGAGGTATTGAAACGAGGACAAACGCACGTTTCATATGCCCGCCTTCTGTGACATTTTATAGGGAGGCGCATACAACGCGTCTCGTAAAGAATGGCATTCTTCATAAAAATATACATCGGGGACGAGAAATAAAAGTTTTGTCGTGGAATATTGCTTTTAAAAATTCGTAAGCGGCCATCATTTTTACGCGCCGCGTAACTTTCGAATACAACAACTTTACCGTTTCGACCACCGATCAATTCCAATATATATATATATTATCGAACCGGTAATACACGAACTTCTTCACAAATAACTCTTAAATTTTTAACGAATATTTCCATCGATGAAAAAACCTCCTCGAAATTCCAATTCAATTTTTCTATTAAAAAAAAAGCTCTACAACGATGCGTATAAATATCAAGCGGAGTGGAAGATAAATTTCATAAATTCAACGTTTATAGGAGACGAGGGTGGGAATTGGTGGAGAAAAACAGGTCGTGTCTTTCCTCCATCTTTTCACCGAGAAGATTTCCAACAGGACAACCCGTTTATTACTCGCGACGCCCTCTTATACCTATTTTTCCGCCGCACGGTCGCGACGGATCCAATCTTGACTCGAAATTACGCATTAACGGCCGAGCATCTGTCCCGCTATTCCTCTAATTTCAGCAGATTATTAAAATCGCATCGGCGTGATTTCGCGAAATGAAGGATCGGCCACGGTAGGCGAGCGACGACGGAACTTTTCTCGTAAAATAAATCAGCCCTAGTCTCGTCGCGGTAATTCGGCACAGCCGAGTCTGCCTTACCGGTAATATTGGATATTTTCTTAATGGTGAAACTTCCGCGGAAACCGACTCCTGTTTATCCTCATGAATGCTCTGATAAATCAGTACACCGCTGTTCCTCTTTTTCATTCGATTTGCTTCTTCACAATTCTACAGTTTGCCCATTTTTGCCTATCTTCCATCCTTTCCTCCTTTCCAATTCTACGTTTTGTCTATTTTCCATCCTTCGTTTCTTTCCAATTCTACATTTTATCTATTTCTGTCTATTTTCTGTCCTTTGCTTGCTTCCACTTCTGCATTTTGCCTATTTTTCACCTGCATTGGCGTATTTTTGCAGAGAGACTAAATAAAGAATTTAAAAATATGAAAATTGACAGACTTATTTTCCCAATGAAATTGTGAAATGTCGTGAGAAATTCTGAAATTTACTCGTTAATCTACATTTTTCATTGGATGGATCTTCAAAAAACTGGGACACCGTATTTCTTTAGATCTCTTATTTACACCCAAGTTCTAACCCTTTGACTAAAGCAACAGAGAGAATTCGGGGTAGTAAACGTTCCTGTTTTACCAACGGTCTTCAATCTACGAATCACGTATCCGGACGTTAAAACTAACACACGTTTCCTTTCACGTTTGTTCCAGTCACTGCATGAGCGACTATATCGCCGTGTACACGGGTCCGACAACGTCGAGTCCTGTTTTGGGGATGCTCTGCGGCAAGGAGAAAACGATGTTCACGCACTACGGCCAGAAACTGCTGGTCGAGTTCAGGTAAAAAGAGAAGAGAGAGGGTCAAAGAAAATCTGATAGTAAACTTCAATCGAAATGTTCAAGTTTACGTCTGAAGTGTCCCGAAAGAATACGAAATACGATTTAACCCTTTCGGTAGAGGCTCGCTTGAGGTAAAAAGTGTTCGCCGCGTACCGATTGAAAGTTAACTGTTTCGCGATAGTCTAATGTCTGGTGTATTCTGGTGTTGCCTGATTTTTAGTCAACAGCGAAATAAATATAGTAAATGGGTGTATATACGGGGTGATCCTAGCAAAGGGGCCAGTTTGTAGCTCTGTTTCAAGTGAAATTAGGAAAAAATCGTAGAGAAAAAAAGTGCACTATTTAACAAGCTCCGTCCTATTGTCTGTGCTCAATTCATCTTGTTGTCCGATGATCAATGTATGCAAAAAAATATTGTGAGATCGAGACTTCTACAGGGTGGTCCACGCAATTGTTTCAGGTCATAACTCCATTACTAATGCATTTACGAAAAAATGCCGAAGGAGAAAGATAAATTGCTCGAAGAGCACTACATTTGTACGCCCTTAGATTTTCTTTAAGTGCAACAGTGCATGTGCAATTAACAAATGCATCATTTCTTTAAATGGAAGTGCATATCTTTTGTTGCACAGATCGATTCCTCTGTTCCTTCTACGTAAAAAATTATTAGGACACCATGGCAAAAATGTTATTAGTTTTCGAGATATTTTCAAAAAATATCATTTTTGAAGAAGATGCTCAAACGCTTCATGACTATCTAGTAAACGTAAACACCGTTTCGACATTGTTGTCATAACAGAAACTGATTTGTACAAGTAAGCATTTCATCATTCAGTAGCAATTTACGTATCTTAATTGGAGTACGAAAACTAAGAATTTGAAAAATTGTGATTGTATTTCACTAAATAAAAGAAAATGTATTGAAAATATCTCGAGAACTAATAATTTTTTTGCCATGGTACCCTAATAATTTTTTACTTAGAATGAACAGAGGAATCGATCTGTGTAACAGAAAATATGCATTTCCATATAAAGAAATAATGCAATTGTTAATTGCACATGCACTGTTGCACTTGAAAAAAATCTAAGGACCTGCGAATGTAATGCCCTTCGAGCCATTTATCTTTCTCCTTTGGCATTTTTTCGTAAATGCATTAGTAACGGAGTTATGACCTGAAACAATTGCGTGGACCACCCTTTATATCGAATTGCTCACTGCATTTTTTCGTAAATGCATTAGTAACGGAGTTATGACCTGAAACAATTGCGTGGACCACCCTGCATATCGAATTGCTCACTATAAACTTTGTCAACTGTTTTAAAATTCCTATAAACTGACCGACAAAGTATGATTCAACCCTTTCACTGCTATTGACGCCTATATGCACCTTGAAAATTTCTTCGCATTGTACTGTTGGAGCATTTTGGCGCACTTCCATATTAATTTACGCCTTGATTTTATCCTCTGCGCTTTTCCGCGTTAATTCGATAAAAGAAATTTTAAAATGATACGGCTGAAAACGAAAATTTCGCGGCGGTTGTGGAACATCTGAATTAGCCACGCGCCTTGTGTACTAAAATTTGCCGCAGTGAAAGGGTAACAACAGAAAAGTTTGGAAAAACTGGTCTTCGCAGTAAGTTGCAATAAGAAAGGTGCCTAATATTATACTTTTGACCAAAGCTATACACATACACCTTTCGTAACGAAAGGGTTAATAAGAAGGAACGTTTGTTTTACAGAACGGGACCAGAAGTGTCACCGTTCAATTACACCGGTTTCGTCGCAACTCTCTCGTTCATAGAGAACACCACAGAAGCACCAACAACAGTGACCATGGACAGCACGAATAAAAGTGGTAAGCGTTCGCGAAATGAACACGTCCATATCCGATGATGAAATTCTGTTCTCCCTTTGCTGTCTCTCTTCACGTCAACGTTTACGTTTATCCGACGCTATTCAATTTGTCATAGCGCGCGTCTACCTACCGTAGAGAGAGGATCGTGCAACTTTCTTTCAGCTCGAACGACCGCAATCGGGCGGACGTTAAATCTGATTTAACAAGCGTCATGGTAAAACCTCAAACTGCTGCCGATGAAATGGCTCGTTCGTTAAATCCTCCGGTTCCACGGGGGATCCTGGAATCGTTCGGAAAAATCCCCGGCTACATCTCGCCCGTGATAATTAATTCCAATTCCCGCGTGTACTCGATCAGGCCATAACTGCACGTCGGAACTGGGTCGCTTTTTATATTGTAACGAACATTTGAATTTGGACCCTGAAACGCCTGAATATTTTTGTTTTAACGTTTATTAGAATTTGGACTCTGAAAGATCTAAATATTTTAATTTCAACGTTTATGCAAATTTGAAAGAACCGACTATTTTTATTTTAACGTTTATTAGAATTTGGGCTCTGACAGATCTGAATATTTTAATTTTAACATTTATGCAAATTTGGACCCTGAAAGATCTGAATATTTTTGTGTTAAGGTTTATGCAAATTTGGACCCTGAAAGATCTGAATATTTTTATTTTAAGGTTTATGCAAATTTGGACCCTGAAAGATCTGAATATTTTAATTTCAACGTTTATGTAAATTTGAAAGAACCGACTATTTTTATTTTAACGTTTATTAGAATTTGGGCTCTGACAGATCTGAATATTTTAATTTTAACGTTTATGCAAATTTGGACCCTGAAAGATCTGAATATTTTTGTTTTAAGGTTTATGCAAATTTGGACCCTGAAAGATCTGAATATTTATATTTTCACGTTTATACAAATTTGGACCCTGAGAAATTTGAATACTTTTATTTTAATGTTTATGCAAATTTTGGCTCTGAAAGACTTGAATATTTTTATTTCCACGTTTATACTTTGGACCCCGAGAAATCAGAATATTTTTATTTCAATACGTATTCAACCTTGGATTCTGAAAAACCTGAATATCATTATTTCAACGTTTATGCAAACCTACACACTGAAAGACCTGACTATTCTTATTTCCACATCTATTCAAATTTGGTCCCTGAAAGTCCTGAATTATTCCTATTTCAACATTCATTCCCTACGATTTCATCGATTGATTAATCACTCTAATTCAAGTGGACACGATTAAATCGGTCGCTGCCGGTGGTTACAACGTCCACGATAACAGTCCAGATCATCACGATCATCGAAAGGATCAAGGTTCGGCGTCGAGCAGCTGTGATCTCGAAATCAGCGGCGAGAAAGTCAGAGCTGATCATCACGACACCAGAGGAAAGCTCAAGTCCACTACGTGCAGGCTCGTGCTTCGCGGACGTGCTTATGACACTGGACACGTTTTATTGGCCAGCTACAATCTCAGGTAACACGAAAACCTCACGAACTGTATATTTTTCAACATTTTCAACAGTGAGTTTTAATTGCTTGCACAAATAACGGGAAAATTAACTTCCAACAGATTTATGGAAATATTTCGAATAAATTTGTACGAGGTAAATGATGTTGATATGATTGATGAAAGAAATACGGTGCAGTATAAATGTAAAAATCGAACGGTGAAATGATGCATGATTGATTTCGCGAAATTTGTACGGTGATATTTCTGAAATATCAATGATTTCACTAAATAAACGACGAGCAAATGAATATTTCAAAAATATTACCGATTTTACAAAATAAACGACGAACGAGTAATTTACAAGATAATTATTAATATTTTCAGTTCGAACATTGCACGGATGATTAAATAATTTTCGCAAAATTAACGCGGCAAATTAATAAATCAGTAAGAAAAGAGTCGCTGGTATAATGGTAACTGATTTCGGTATTAATATAAATATTGATACAAATATAGATATTGTTATTCCGCCAATCCACACGGATTTTCCATTATTAGCATGAATAATACGAAACATATTATTCATATTACTATTAACGATAATACCAAGTCATTACTAACGACCATTTACATAAAACGATTATTAATCACGGTAAAACTTGCCGTAATATCTCCAACAATTGTTTGTTTTTCAATAAAATCGCTACGAAAGCTTTCATCTCGCCTATTCATTATTCAAATACAATTTCCATTTTCGTACAATTCTCACAAAACAGAAATTCTCTTTAAAAAATATTGCAGGGTTGAGTAGTTTCCGTGATCTAGATTGGATGAAATAAAATTTATTTAATAGATAATTAAACCGCACAGCTAAACTTTAAATAATTCCACGCAAAACTATGCTAACTGCACTTTCTTCCACTTTGACTGCGCGCAAGTATTTTGCAAACTCTTTTAATCTTGCATTCTCGCATTCTCTCTCTTCATTTTACTATTTTCCTCTCATTCTACGCACATGTTTCTCAGAGACATTCATTAACGTCCATTTAAATTTTTGGGTAACCACGTATCCTTCGTTCTCGGGATATTCTCAAGTATAGTCGATGGAAGAAATATAGCGAGGTCGAAAAGTAAAGTATGAAGCAGCGGCAGAGATTGTTGCAGTGATATGGCATTTTACGTTTTTCGATTGGGACTGAAGACAGAAATTGATATGGCATTTTACGCTTTTTGATCGGGACTGAATCAAAGTTAAGACAGATTTCATACGACCCTGTTTCGGGTCCTTATCTTCTCAAGTTTCTGTCGATTCGACTATCGGTACACTCGAACTTGTAAATTTCGACTCCTGAACGAATTTACGACCTCGCTATATTTCTTCCACCGACTATACTCTTCTTTCGCGTTTCTATCGCTCTAGTAGTACCCTCCGTTCGCGTAACTCTCGTTCCACCTTAAAATCTCGCACAGAAATTCCATCACTCCTACAAATAGAAAGAGGAAAAACCAAAGCGTTAGGTCATCCGATAAGTTCCTGTCGAATTAATAATTTAGATCAATATTTCCAACGAACCCTTAAATTTGTTACAGTATTTTTCTCTCTTTTTTTTTTATCATTATATCGTCGATATAGGATTTCCTTCGATTTTCATTCAAATATTTTTCACTTTCGACACGAACTCACATTATAATAAAATACCCAACACTCTCGTAAAATATCATTTAATCTTCACCTTAGCAAAGAAATATCATGAATAAATCAGCGCTTCCAAATTAATTCCTCAAGATTCATCAGATTCGTTTCTCATCTCATTTCCGTCCAACCTAGTTCCCTCTGTTTTTCATCAAAATACAGACACACTAGACGAAAAGACGGGAAACGCGATTCCTCAGCACGATTTCGAGAGTATTCGACACGGTTTTAAGACGATTGCGTTCGAGGTTGAGGGTGATGTTAGAAACCGGCTGCGAAATGCAGTCACGTAGAGGATCGTGTGCCGTCGTGGCGTGGCTGGAATTGCATTTCATTTGTTTACCTTTTTCACGGAGCGAACGTCGAGAGACCTCTCCACCGAGTGAATTTGGCTCGTGTTAGCAACCTCGTGGGTACCAGAGACGATCGATCGCGTAAAATCGAACACAGCAAGTCCTCGCTGGCTGCCGCTGGTCACCGATCGACACTTCGATTTAATTACCAGCCTCTCGAGCGAAGAAGCTCGTTCACCGCGATACGGTGTATTAAGTAACGCTGGAGTTAATAATCGATAACGTATCGCCGAGTCTGGAGTTCCAAAAAAATGCACCGGGATGAATGAACTGAATGAAAATTTCACGAACGTACAGTTAGATCGTTAACGAGAGACAACCGTTAAAAAGCAAAAGTACGCATACTTTAAATATTATTAATATGAACATTTTAATATGAATATTCAAAATATGAACATTATACAATGTGTGAATATTTGAAATATTAATTTTTGCTGAATGCCGGAATATTTGTGTAACACAGTAATTGGACGTTATTTCGGTTAATGTTTATTACGATGTCGTACACGAAAAGGCATTAAATTAATAATACTTGATCCTGAAGTATAATAAATTATGTTTCATAACGAAAAAGTGTCAAATCAATCTTTATATAAAATGCGTCATTAGAGAAGCAAGCTTATAGAGTGTCTGAATATTTTTGGGAGTAACTGTAGTCTTGGTGCAGTTGATGGAACCGATATAGTCAGATCCTACGTTAATTAATTTTGTTCAAATCATATAAACTTTTCCTTATTTTCAATACAAACAAAAGTAACATAAATGTTCATTATAAGTTAAACACCCTGTATAATCACACAAAAATGTTACCAGCATAACTGCATAATAACTGCATGGACTATATGAATACTTAACGAAAGGGTTAAGAATCGATCACCTTCTAATCTCGTCAATCCAGTAATCACGAATATTTCATAAATTCGAGTACCATCTAAATACAATTCAAGAACAAGTACTTCGATGTAACCTAACCTAACCTAACCTTCAGACACTCTTGTCCTTCCGTTTGGAAAGCTGGTCCCTCGATACCCGGAAGAATCTCGTTTTAAGTTGGTACGTATCAATCAGCATAACTCATCGAAGCGCCGCCGAACACACAGGGAGACCTTGCCCAACTCCTCTGCTCTTCTCCACCCTCGTCCTATCTCGGAAGTAATAGATACGAAGTAGCAGTAAATCACACGGGAATGCGGCTGGCTCGTATCCCTGGGATTTTCAATTATCATGCACAATGGCTGCAACGCGCGCGCGGTCCATGCATTCGTGGCTTTGTAGATATGTTCTCGTAAGAGATGGAACACGCGCTGGGTGGGCTGAAAGGCGCCTCCCCCTCCCTTTCCACACCCGTTCCTCCGCGAAACTGGTGGCAAACCGTAGCCAAGGAGCGAACGTAACCCCCGTGGGTTCTCAGACGACAGATATATAACAGGGAATAAACTAAGAGACGACAAGCATACCGTCGTACATTCGGAGAAATGCGGAAACGGTGAGGGGGAGACACTTTGAGCATGAGACAAAGGGTTTATCGAAGGCGGCGTATATTTTGAATGGAATATTGTAAATCTGGAGAAATCGAAAGAATGTTTCTTTTTTGGTGAGTGTGTAGTGATATTGAAGTGAGTCAAGTGGTTGAACACTTTTTCCAGTGTCCTTTTGCCCCATTTTTCTTATTCTTTTTTATTTATTTGCTTGGTTTGTGGAGGTACTTTCTTCGTTCCGCCGCCAGAGGGACGGAACCTTGACCATTCTCGCTGGTGCTCGCTAAGGGTCTCTGTTTGTATATATACAACTTCCAAGATTAAGTCTAATATCCCTCGCGTTTAAGACACGAGTCTTCTTATGGTTTTCCGTGTCTTTTTAGACATAGAAAAGAATACCCTACTAGCGTAAGTAACATAAATCAACACACCTCTGTTAATATAAATTACACGTAGGTTAGTTACTTTCTCTTTCGGCCTATTCTTCCTTCAATCTATCTTTCCTAACCTAATTTCAAATTTTCTATTCATTGGAAAATTCTGTATCCTTTCAAATATCCTCACTGATTCCAAATTCTTTGTATTCAATTGTGGAAATAGAGATACAGATGTATGATTAGTATTACAAGATTTACTGCATGAGTTTATCAGATATAAGGTTTACACGAATCCTATGCTTCTCGCTAATTAGTTCGCGTATCGCGTGTATTATGTTTGACGCGTGATTTGTTAAATCGAACAGTATCGATACCAAGCTTAAACTTCACTCGAGTATGAAGCAATAATACGCAACAATACGTTGATACACGCGTAATCGGATTTGCCCTGGATGTTGTGCTCCAAACAGAGAGTAGTAAGTTCAGAGGTCGTGATTACCAATAGATGACTGCGCGAGATGTGGTGAATTCGTAACACTAAGGCCAGCAGCAGCAACCGTGGAAGTTGAAATAGAGTCTGGGAATTTATAGGAAAGAACCACGGAAGTTTTGATTGACGAATTCCGCTGAAACGTTTCTACCAGCGACGGGAATATTCGTACTCGACTCTAATTGTTATTTCTCGGTGGTTAAATTATGTTCAATTACACGTGGAAATATTTATAAATAATCTCTGGAATAATGTACAAATTCCTAGATAAATGAAAATTTTCAACGATTCGATGAAAATTCTGAAAATGCACACCGGATTAATTTCAACGCTTCACCGGTTTCATTATTTGTGTCCTTGATTGATAAAACGGCTCGCGAATTTTGCCGCGCGATCCTCTATCGACGTTCATCCCTAAAATATTCATTGGTTGAAAAGTAGTTGGCTGGAGAGTGAAATTTTTTAACAACCTCAATTTCCCGCCAATCTGTTCTCCGTGCATTATTTATCTTGATCGATACGCGCTATCCACCAGTCAAATATCCGTCCTTTCGTTTCACCGATCTCCGTTTTCAAACGAGACTTCCTGTCATATAAACCGCCGTTCAATCTTCCCCGACGAACGAAAAACTGAAACGAAACGTGTAATTAAGTTGGAAACTTTTCACCGAACAGACGGAGTAATTTCTCGCCACAAGGCCACCAGTTCGTATTCATTTATTCGCGAGGAAACGAATTTTTATTCAGCGGCCATTTAAGGAGCCAATTACAGGCTCCTTTCGCGCTCTCTAACAATTTTCCTCCGAGTGAAGGTAATCGAAATTCATTCGTATCAAAGAAATTACGTCCGAATACTCGGGATTCTTTAATTTAAAATTCTAAGATCTGAGATAAGTGCGTTTGAATGAAACGAGGTGCGAGAAAAGAATGTTTGGGCTGAGTGACATGAATGAGGAAACATGCAAGTGTGAGAAAATCCGTCCCGAAGACGGTGAAGGGAGTCCAAACGAGCATAAACAAATGCTGAATTTACGAAGAACATTTGAAACTGGGGAGCGAACGAGCATTCGTTCATTTAGTCTAGACGCACCGTTAGAAGAGAAAACATCGAAGAAGAAACGCGATATTTGCATACCAAAATGAAACTTAATTCACCACTTAAATTACATCCCAAAAGATTCTCGATTATCTGTTTCTTTTGATAATTCTTGAACATTATGAAAAGGTGAAATCTCGTAACCTTGACATCCACGCGAAACGCAGTAACAAGTTTCTCTGTTGGATGTTGCAGCGCCCAGGAGTGCCAATCGTCGATCGAAATATTCGATGGTCTTCTTGAAGGAGGGATGCTCGGCACCGTGAAGTCTCTCGGGAGAATCTGCAGTCCTGCGCAGAGGCTTCCACGAGAATTCATGCAACAAGATACGTAAGTGGATTCTCCAGTTATTAGACTAGAAATGCCGACGTCGCCTACGGTGTGCTGCTTATTACTTGGATACTGTACTAAGAAGTCCTCGGGATTCCTCTCGATTCGTGACGCGAAATGCAAACCGCTTGCGCTATCCGCCCGCGAATTGACACAGCTCGTTGAACTTGCCGAAATTAATGCAAGGAACTCGTCCGTTGATCGGCGACGTTCGGTTGACATTCACGACGTGGAACGTATTGTCGACTGTCAACTTGGAAAATTTGCTTTATCCGTCTCGCTAAAATGCGGTGGATCTGAGTGGAAGTTTGGAATCTCCTGATACTTAATTATGCATTCGTGGGAATTTACCAAAAGCGAATACTTGAAAAATGCTATCAACTAATCTATAATAGAGAGAATATTTTATTACGGTGCCAGTATGTTTTTGGTATTATGGTTACCTTTATATAATGGAAAGAACATTTTATTTTCCTACGAATTTCTGAGAAACATGACAGAAAAAGGTTTGTAAAAGTGAAAGCGAGGGTCGACGGAGACAGAAATTAGGCTCGTTAGAAATGTCCGATGCAGATCAGGGATGCATTGATCATATTTGGTGCGTCTTGACTATATTTTTGATGGAAACTCCAAAATAGGGACGTAAGATGAAGTAAGAGTTTTTCTTTGGACGAAGTTTAGTATTACGAGGCTTACTTTAGAATTTTCACTATTAGAGTCATCTGGTGTGTTGATAGCGACACCTGATAATTGCCTTCTGCGTTGCACTGAATCATTATAACCTCTTATGTGGGATCAGAACCTCCATGACCATCAAAAGGAGCAGTAACAGCGTGGTAATGAAGAGGACGCCTTAGCTGTGGTCGTAGAGTCACGGCTTGCCGCTCAGGGGGTCGCGGGTTCGATCCCTGCTTGGTCCTTCAAATTTTTCTCACATAAATTTTATAATATTCAAAATGAAGACAATGAGTGTACTTGATTCGTCGTAGTTTTAAAAGCTACCTCATTTCTTCTGCAGTATTTAATTCTAATCTATACACAGATTATTAGCACTCTAAGATACGTGGTCGCTAATAATAAATAAACCAACGAAAAATATATATTCTCACACACATTATTTACACGTGAATTCTTTAAACATTGAATAGTTCAATTCACGTATCACCACTATTATCCAGTACTTTTTCCAAACCATAAACCACCACAGTAACCTACATGAGCCTGAACAACCAACTGAATGCTCTAGAAAAAACATCTAAAACCTGGCCGTACATTCACCTTACCGAACTACACGGTTCAATTCAACATCCACGACGAACGCAATTGAACGCGTTCAACGAGCCCCCGTGCTTGGTTCCGATGAATAGAGAGAAGCCAGGGTTTCTCCTCTACCGTTTCCTTTGCCCTCCGTTCGATCTAATAAAAGTGACGCAGCGTGTGCGCGGCCACGATAACGGGATACACGGCGTTTTCGATCTGAAAGTTGATCGGCAACAGGACTTGTGCAGAGGAAACGCGCGGGGCGAGGGACACAGAGGCACGTAATCAGGAAACAGCTCCTACCTATTCGTCATTGGTAGATCCGGTGGAGAGAACGAGACACGGAGCTGCCGCTCATCTTGTCGGAAGTCGGGTATGAAAGATGACTGGTGCGCCATGCGATATACAGGGTGTTCGCCATAACGATCGTGACGATTTTTTGGCCGCTTAATGAGGAAGCTTGTTACCTACAATTTAATTCTTTGCGATTCGAGATACTTCCGTCCGCCATTTCGTTCCAACTAGCTTCGACCGCTCATTTGACCACTTTTGGATGATATCCTATAGCTTAGCTTTATTTCAACACTTCAGCATCTGATAGTGATACATTATGATTCTGCATAATAGTGATATAGATGCCGATTTCAACGTATTTATAGCGATATATAATACTAATATATGAAAAATGGTTTATTATCGTTCACAGTTTATAATTTATCATTGTATGATATTTAAAGAGAAAAATTCCTATGTCGGGATGATTTGGAACGAAATGCAAAGTCGAGTTTACAAGTTCTTAAAGAAAACCAAGTTTACCCGATATAATTGAATTTGTCTCACGTAAAATATGGAAAAGAAAAAATTATACAGTGCTATTTTCGAAAATGAAGGTTACCCGAATTTTTTATCCGAGAAAAAGTGCTTTAGCAATTTTCATTATTACAATTTGTTACTGATTGAGCTCTGATTAATTAAAAAAGTATTGTTATTATCTCACGTCGGTTGAAAAATCATAGTGAATGTTACAATGGTCACCCTGTATACCAACTCAGAGATTAACTTTTAATAAATCATGGCGACAGTTACAACAATCACCCTATATACTAACCCACTGATTAATTTAAAAAGAAAAATCGTTATCATCTGATATCGGTTGAAAAATCGTGGTGACAGTTAGAACGATCACTCTGTATACCAACCCAGTGATTAATTTGAAAAACGGAATCGTTATCACCTCGTATCGGTAAAAATATCAAGATGCCTGTTACAACGAACACCCTGTATACCACCCGGTATACGCATTCGCATTTACACCGTGTACACGCGTTCCAGTATCTCACAGAGGGAGAAAGGCTGACTACGTTCACTGAATTCGTCCCAATCCCCATCGAACGGATGCAGAAACCATCTCTCCGTCCCTATCCGCCATATTCAAAGAGACACGCTTTATAGAGAACCTAGTTCTCCCGACGACGTCGTAAAAACATTTAATGTCGATCGATTTTTTCGTACGCGTAATAACGTGACACACCAGCAAAGAGGGAGAAAACAAAAAACAAGAAAAACACAGCGGTTTCGTAATAGACGAATTCCTCGGTGTCTTTGCGCATCGTGGAATTTGAATATCAGCCTTGAACGCGATTTATACAACGCGTCCTCTCCTCTTTATTGCAGATTTTTTGCTCCGCTGTTCTTGCCAGAGTGCGCTCGCGTTGTCACGATACCGGTGAACGTAATTTCGGTTCGTAAGGGTTCTTCTTCTACGTGGGATGGAATTTTGAAGGAAATATGGCCCCGCGATATCAGGGGAACCGTGAGCAACGACGACATCGGCGGATCGGTGAAATTCTGCCACGGGATACCTTTAACTGTCGTGTAACGCGCGAGCGTAACTCGTACCCCTGTCAGTGGTACGTGGGTTACGCTGCGTGCTTAGTAGAATGGGTTCGTGTATAGTCGGACGAGCCGAGGTGTGACGTGCGCGCGCGTCAAAGGAGTAGGGGCACTCGTTGGATCGGGCAAGTAGTATGGGACGGTGTTGTGGCAGACGCGCGAGAGAAAATTGGAGCACGGTTTTTGTTCGAATAAATGTAGTTTATGAATGTAAAGTCGTATTTATGGGAGTAAAACGAAATGGATAATTTTCATATTTTGAATTCGTCTGAACATACGAGGCCTGGGAATTCATAGGAAATTTTCAACGAGCGAAAAATAAAAAAGATCAGCTATTTTGTAATGAGTGGTAAATCATTTAACATGCAATGCCTGGAAATTCGTAGGAAATTTTGAACGAACGATGTTGGAAATGGGTTATGAAATGAAATAGTCTTTATAAATTGTTAATATACTATTTATTAACGGACTCAGAGGAAACGTCTTTACTATTTGAAATGTGCTAACGGACTGGGCACCCAAAAAGAAAGTTTGGGTCCGCTGATACCTAGGAACTGTTTACTTTATGGTATCGCAGTGTGCAGTGCGTGACTCGAAGACGGACATAAGACACATCTGGTGGAAGCCATAATGTCTTTGTTTAAACGAACGCGGAGACATTTTTGTCCTCGCTTGATTATTTCTTGATTTCTTGAAAAATGAAAAAAATCAGCAATTTTAAAAAGGAAGAGTTACAAATTAGTTACTTGAAGTGGTTAATCTTTTGAAGATGTATATTTTGCAGAGTATAACTCTGGGTTTTAATAGCTGAGCCAACATTTTTTTTTCTGGTCTCAATTCATAGAGAGCTTTAAACGAACGAAAAATGAAAAAGACCAGCGATCTTGTAATTGAAGGCTTGCAAATTATGTAATTAAAGTGTTTTATTTTTTTAAGTATATTTTGCAAAGTATAACCGTGGTTTTCGTACGTGCATAGAAGTTCCGATAGCTGTGACAAAATCTTATTATTTTTTACTTTCCTTGCAAAGGGGTAGAAATTTTTTACACTTTTCAGTGTGCCCTACTTTTAATCCTTAACAATTTAAATTCTCAGCATCCACGATTTACAGCTTAAATATTAAAATTAATTCACTCTATTCAAATCACTCGTTTCATTTCCATATGTAACATTTTTCACTCGTAAATTCCATTTCTTCCACTTAATTTATTACACTCAAACCCAGTCAGTCGTGTTCGCGTCATAAAATAATCATGAAAATGGCAAAATTTAAATCCTCAAGAACCACAATCCACTCTTTTATCAACGACAGCCCATAAACCGTGCTCCGCTACGACCTCGTAACGATTAAAAAAATTTCGAATCGAAGATTCGATCCTCTATCTCGACGGAAAGGTTGGCTCTAAATAAAAGGGATATTGATATTCCGAATATTTGTCCGATCTCACAGCAGGGAAACCTCGAAATGAGATATCAAAATGAAATTAGTATTTGATGCATTAAAACGTGACGTTCGAAAGGGGGTCCAGCCCTCAAAGGAAACGGACCGTTCGATTTTAATCAGATAAATGTCAAAGTGGCTCGACGAAGAATCACGCGGCCTAGAATGGAGGTATCTCCGTGTGAAAAACGTGACGGAAAACCCGGCACGGAGAAAGACTTTCCCCCGCACATATTGATCAGCGTCGTGGAATAGGGTGGAGAGGAGGAGGGGTCACGATCTGAATGGGTTACATTCCAAATCCTTTCAACCGCGATCGATGTGTCCGCCCTCCGTTATCCGGAGAATCGTTCGTCCAGGGACGAGCCGTCGGTCCAGAAGCTGGACTAGAAGGATCTAATTGTGA